CTATCTTTAATGTATAATTCATTGTTGCTACGCATTTACCATTACTAGATGATTAATGCCTATGCATAATATGCGTACACACTTGAGATAATTTACACATATTACACAGGTTACAGGTATTAAGGAATAATAATCAGGATTAACTAAATAGAAAACTGCAGTACCTATACTAGTATACTCACCTTGTATTTTACAGAAAGCAGCACATAAGTAATGATATATATATATATATGAAATATATATATTTAAACTGTATCTATTTTATAAGGCTTAATGTTTAAAACTTGTTCTTCTTTATAAATTATTATTTTATTTGTATAACAATATCAAAAAACGTTCATGAATCATTGTGTATTTGGAATAAAAAAATGGTGCTTGGTAAATTATTTTCTAATAAAGTCCATTTACTGTATAATAATTGGTGTAGGGCCGAAACGGCGATTGTTTACATTGAATCTCGTTAATTTGTTCTCGATAATGTTTCAAATAAAAATGATTTCCGAAAATCATGAACCTACCTATTAAAAGACGCCGGACTACTTCTGTTTTAAAAAAACAAAAAAATGTTAATGGTAATTACATTTAGATAAGTACATTTTAAAATGTGAGTTGGTTGTATATATATAATTAAAGGGAATTCATTATAAAAAAAACGCACATTGTGAAGCAATATATCGGTAGTAATAATTGTGTATCGTCTGAGAATTTTTGTTTTATAATAATACACTATCGAGTGTATTATTAACTTGAACTCCCAGAAAAAATATTTTACGAAGAAAAAGTATTTTAATATATTGTGTGCCTACGTAGTTATGTTATACAATATTAAAGATGATTGACGACTTCCACATTTCTGAATTATTTTAATTCAAGCGCATCAACTAAACGTTCTTGAAATTAATCCCATAAATGAGAATTTTAGTAGCAGTGAGTTATAGCTCATAAGTCTACAATTTATGTATGATATTATGTGGTGACTCCCCGAATCCGATGTAACGACTATATAATATTAATAATAATTATACTGAACATTTTAAGGTTAATCGGTGGAAAAATAAAGCCAGTAATTTAATTCTTTGCCCTGAGGTAATGGAAATAAAGTAGGTAGGTAGGTATACGTTCAGGCACCTAATAGTTTTTAAAAATGGCACCGTATATAATCATGTGTGGTTTTGCAAAAAAAAAAAAAAAACTAAAAATAGGCGGAGGATGCTACGTCCCGGGGCGATGGATTAAACGTATATTAAATAAAGTGAATTTCGTACAAATTTTGGGTCTTCGTAGACTTTACGGCAGTTTTATAATAATGAGTAAAATAACTTGTATACACAAATAATAACGAATAGATTATATACCATTAAAGCGCTTTGATTACCAAATACGACCGTTCGATCTTGACTTCAGAATGCAGTTTTCCCTGGTAAATGATGAATTGTTAAAATAGATGGTACTATATAATGTAGCTGATATAGGTAGATGTAAACGTTTATTTAATTCACATTATTCTTATCGGATCGCGAAGGACAAACATTTTGATAAACGTCAAGGATGGCCCGTCTAAAAAACATCTCGTACTTATAATTTTTTTTCTTTCAATAATATTTTTTCGAATGTCCGTATCAACAATCTGGTTTTTGATTTAAATTAATGCACATAGGTATATTGTTTATTATAAAATAAACCCACTCGACTGTATCAAACAATGATAATATGTAATAAAATAATTTCTATTTTGGAATATGTAAATCAATATACACCTTCGTCAATATTTTAATTAGATTATTATTGTAATATAAATAGAAAATTAATAATAAGCTTTTTTATGATAACAAAGCTAATATTATGAATATTATAGGTACATCATTAGAATAAAAATAACACGGATACCTTGTTTTTTATTGCCTATAGTTTTATAATAATATTTACATTTTTTTTTATCACCTATAATTAAAAACATCAATATGATATAGTAAATTTGACTCGTGATATTTTTCTATAAAATTGACGTTTTATTCGTTCTGATAAATAATAAAAATATTTTATATTTCTGTACGTTTTAGTTTATCGTAACTATTAATATCTGATGAACTTTTGTTATTATTTTAACTATCGAATATTGTATACTTCGTTGACACATTTAAGTACCTTTCGGCGATACATTATTACAGTATTTATGTAAATTGTACATTGTGAGCCTAGAGTTTAAATTGTTTAAAATTTTAAATAGTAAATCGATACCTAATTAAATCGTGTAAAATATAGTGAATAGTGATTTATATTAAAAACCTCACGAGTCTTAGAGAAGATTGTATAATAGTTATATTACTCCTATACTATGCGGAACTGAACTATGCCCACTATTTTTAGTAAGTACTTATCTATTTAAATTTGTTAAGATACAATAAAATATTAATTTAAAATTTTCTGTAATACATGCAATAATATTGATTATTGGCAATACAGACATGCTGAAAACAAAAGTTTATCAATATTTGATCTAGTCTAACCATACCATGCAATAAATAATAAAACATATTTATTAAGCTAATAATGATGTTTCCATGACAAGCAGACGATTTATTTTATTATATTATAAAATATAGTGGGAATTATGAGAATCGTGATAAAGTATTTTATAGCTGCAGTATGACTGGTTTATTGACATAACAAATGTAGTTGATCTGGGAGCTATTTAAAATTAAATTTATTGCCTTAAAATGTTTTTTCCATATTATTATTGTCTTGCATCTATGATGATAACCGAGGCTCTGGTTTTTTTTTAAAAAAAGAACCAAACTAATAGTCTGCAGAATTCTTTAGACACCGCAAACTACAGCCATACAGATATTTTCACTTTTTAACATTCTTTGTGTCGACAACAGTACTAACAAGCATTTTAAGTTTATACATTTGTTGTAAATTGATATTGTTGATACTTGATATTGCTAAATACTTTTGTAACGGTAATTCTTATAATATATATTATACATTATATTATGATGGTTGATGAAAGCTGTCTAATTTATGTTTACATCGTTAATCGTTATACTTACAGGATAATACAGATACATTTTCGTCGGTATATTAGCTGGTAACAAGTAGATTCTTAATGGTTCGATAACTGTAATTTTGTTTTATTACGATAATGTACGTTTTTTTGTGTGGTAAGTCACCTTTTAAAGAACAATAACAAATAGCTTATATTTATAAATTGGAAGTTTGACTTTTGGGAAGTACTACAATTAAAAAATATACAGAACTTTTTTAATAATCGGGAAAAACAAAAAAAAATTGTGTAATAATATATGGAATATATTTTACGCGACACTAGTTTTGATAAAATCTTTTTTGTTTTTTGTTCTAATTAAAATGATTTAGGTATCATTGGATTCAAATCTAACACATCCATAGCTGCAGTGACCTACTCAATGACGAGGTTCACTCAGAATCTACTATACTCGTATAGATAGCAGCAAAATATAGGTACCTAACAAGTACGTACCTACCTAGTTTTTTTTTCATTTTCAATAATCGTATTTTTAAACTTTAAGTCAAATTTATTTTAGAAATTGGACCAATATTATTTTTCAATAGTATCAATGTAATTAATATATAAAACTATTTATACATTTTTCTAATATATTTAATTATAAATGGTATTAGTTCATGTTTATGAATACTGGTCCAATACAATGTCATTGATTATTTCATTGAAATAAATATTAATAAGTACGGAAAAATACATTGTATTCGAAATTATTTTAATTTTAATTCTGATTATAAATATAGCAGAATATTTTGTAATATTGCATTTTAGACGTATTCAAGATGTAATTTCTTTATTGATAGGTACAACTTAATTTATAGACAGATATTTATAAATTGGCGAATAGTGGCGATAATATAATGATATCATATAAATATAATCAGTGCCGGATTTAATCATTGTGCCGCTTTAAGCACTAAATAATTTGCCGCCTTTAAATAAATATTTTTCTAGTCTAAAAAATGTTATTAAAGCATACAATTATAGTTTTTTATTTTTTACTTAAAACTTTAATGATGAAAAATAAAAACATAAAACTCTACGATTATGAAATTGGAAAACATAAAATATAAATATTACCACAATCCCGTTGGTCTAAAAACATTGTATAATTAGTTTCATTTTATTCTAGTTCTAGTTACATATAATAAAAATGTAATATTAAAAATTATTTGCCGCCCTTGAGAAATTGCCGCCCTAAGCACTAGCTTATAGTGTTTACTGGGAAATACGGCACTGAATATAATATTGTTTACACTGTTATTAATTTACTTAATGAAATACACTAATTTTATTTCCTCAATTTTTGTATTTTGAACGTTATTTAATGGGTCCATAATACGTGTACCTGCACTGGTTTCCCCCACACCAGCTTGTTTAGAATGTTAACATTAACAATGAATTTAATTAAATCTTCCATCAATTCAATCTTCATTAAAATTTTGATTTAGTTAGTCATTATGATTCTGTTGTATTATACATAATAATGCATTCAAAAATTGAAATATATACAGATAAAGTATCTTAACATAAGACTAATGTCATATGGGTAGTAGCCAGTAGGTAATAGGTACGCTTCGCATAAGGAGTAATGTTTATTCGTCAAAATAATACAATACCATAAAAACTAAACAGGTAGGTATTTAATTAAAATTGTATAGACATTTACGTTAATAAGTGTCGAGAAAAAAAAATAGAATGGTACCTTAGGTAATAGGAACTTGTCATGAAAAAAATATCGTCAGATAATATATAGAGTAAATACTGTAGTTGCTCATTCAAGCAAAAAAAAAAATAACACAATATGTATAATATAAGTATAATTTTATTACAAAAATCAATATCTAATTAATAATACTTAATTAGAATCGAGCGCAATTGTATGTACAAAATACATTTTCCATGGCATACTTCCGTAGAATAAAGAAGGGTAAATAACAAATAACAAATCAAAGTTAAAAAAAAAATGAATTTAAATGAAAGTGAAAATAAATAATGACAGTAGTAATACAGATTAACAGTTATGCAACTTAAATATAGGCGGACAATATGGCGAATCGATACTTGGACGATTGCTCATATAAGCACGCGTTATACGTGTTGGGGGAAATGATGTTTGAGCCTTGTCGGACGTCTACTTAATTTTGTTGTAAGCTGGTTCCGGTGTGGACGGCTGAGTGGCGAGGAATTGGAGCAACTTGGCGATTGCTGGCGGTAATGGTGGTGGTGTGGGCAGATGGTCGCCGACCGGAACGAATCCCTGGGGACCGGCCACGTATTTCACGCTGATTGGTGTACCGTCCGGAGCTGTGTAAGAGTAGCCACCTTCGACGTTCAGGGCCGATTGGCTGGGATCTTGAGCCGGTTGCACGTAACCACTCTCTTGGGCTTGGATACCATTGCCGGTTTCGTACCTGTTGATGACATCAATCGATAGGATTGGATTATTGTTAGACTGAATAATATAGTTTAACTGTTAGTTATAATTTAAACTTAACGTTTTCCCAGAATAACAGACCGTGATTATGTGAAATATAATTGAATTAAAGTGTTATCTTTAACAGCTAATCAGAGATGATGGATATAGAGAACAGTGACATCATGACCACGACTAAATACAAGCAAGGTCTTCAAAATTGAAGATAAGCCCTGAGAGGAAACTATTCACACATTGACTGATTATTTCATTAAATTCATTAAAAAAACACCGGGTGCCAAGGTGTCCAAGTTCTACTACCTACTATACCTATCTAAATATATAACGTAACGCCAAACATCTTGTTTGATCTCTTTTAGTTGTAAATACTTGTTGTCAATCAATTATCAGACAAATGAAGCAATGTTATTTTCGTTTTTTTTTTTTAAGATACTACAAATAAAAAGGGAAAATTATTTATTATTATACATGCTGTTAAATATCTTAAGCACTATTTATGTAAAGCAATACTTATCATTAATCGAGTGTTTTGCGTCGAAAAGAACAATAACAGAAAAAAAAACACTTTTTTATGCAAACTATCAGTTACAAATAAAATGAATATATTTTAAGTATATTTTAATACGCTCTCATTTTTCATGTGGTATATATTCAGAATTATTGTCAACTAACCGTGTAATCGTATACGTCGATTATTTCTGTATTGCATGATGACCCTTATTATATACTATTAAGTATTAACTCAAGTATCTTTCAGTCCATTTTCAGAAATGATAAAATCATACTGTTGAATTTTACCAACTCATATTATTCAAATTATTATACCTATATTTTTATATTTATTCACTTATATTTACGATACTTCATTCAGAAACGTTGTACAACCTTGAGTTGAACTACGGTTCAACACACATTGATGCAACTGGAATGTTTTTAATACATTCATAAGCGAGAGTATAATTTCCGGAGGTATGTTATTACGTTTTATGTTCTGGATATATTCGTTACCGTTTACCGGTGTTTTGTTACATCATTGTTACAATAACAATGGCCTCAATCAAAGTGGGTGGCCGAATCAAAGAAAGCATCTACTTAAAGAGACTATACGCCAAAAAGCGCTGGCCGAGTTTTTGAGGTCAACGAAATTAAACCCATTTGTATGCAATCCGATGATTAGTGCAATCTCCCGTGAGATACAATGACACGCCTAGAGTTTAATACGTAACACTCACTTCCCAGTCGTCAAATAATTGTTCTTTAGACAAATCCAATGATTGAATTGAAAATAGTATTTATTATTTAATATCGTATAAATTCTTATTGGTGATCAAGAATATTAATAATTTTAGTGTAATTAAAAATCATACAAATCGTATTTTTCAGATTGTGATAATGCAACAGTACAACTATAAGCTTAGGTATATTATTATATTATATATATATAACATATGACCAGATATTATAGTTGTACAGTCTATGTAATATTTTACTTTAATTATGGATACAAATAAATTTACTAAACGATTTGATAAATATCATAAAATGATCATTAGTTAGCAGCAGGTGGTGTACTCGGTTAAACAGAAGTACGATCATAACATACGATTTGAAATTATTCATCTGATTTTTAAGTTCCAACGAATCGTGCAGTATATAGTATCATGGTCATGTCAAGACAGCCAGAGTCTTCCATTAAATACGATTAGTTAAAACACGTTGTTTTAAATAAAAATTATTCGAATATCGATTAGTGGTTTGAGTATAGGCACTTGATTAAATGTTTGGGCACTAATGTATTTTGAATGACGTCTCATTAATTTTCATCGTTTAATAGAGGTACACACATATCGTGTTAACCGTGATACCTTGTATTTATAGACCACAATTCGTATACAGTTTCACGGTCGTTAGATCAATGGGAGAATCGGTTAGTCCTTGCCGGTTGCCACATCGTCCATGTGACCCGGCCGCGGCCCTATCGGGTAACGGATCCACGAATATTCGTGATAAGCTATCACCCAAGGAGGTGTGTCTGATTCACGATTCGAATCATTTGCAAATTGGCGCACCGACGGCGCTGCCTAAAGAAACGTGTGCGAGGCGATGACGAACTGGCCGGTGGGTCATCCGATTGACGGACTAACGGCTGAGATTGGGTCAAACAGCTTCGGGTCAAACCCTGAAGACTTTCTCGTCCTCATAATATTATAGTTTTTGCAAACCTACAGATACATACACACATACATTCATACATACATTTATATATTATGTACAATAGATGTATACGAGTATTCTATTATTATTATTATTATTGTTGTTGTTGTTGTTGTTATTATTGTTATCCATACACTTCTTTCGCTCTATGTAATTGTGTAACGTGACAGAGTTAAGTAAGATTATTATAACCCATGATTGAGCACAAAAACCAAACCATCGTTGTCCGCCGAGTCTCGGCTTATCATTATAATATAGATAGGAGATCTAAACGATTATTATCCGGACGAGTTTCAGTTCTTGTGGTCAGATGTTCTACGAAAAATAATTGTGTTTATGCAATTTCAATTGTTGTGTTTTTTTTAATAGCATACCAATCATTGCAAAAAAAAAAAATAATAATAACGAAACGTAAACATATATAATACATTCGTTTTCGAATGTCGTGATGGCATCGAGTTACATTTTGATTTTTTTTTATCCAAAAAAGTAATAAAATATTGAATTCAAATTACGTCATTCAAGTGGCTTAAGAAAACAAGATTCTCGGAATTACCGGCTATTATTATCAAAGTGTACAGTGTAATGATTTACTACGATTGAGTACATTATTTCTTTATAAGATAGGTTCGGATAAATAACAATCCCACAGTTCAATGTTATACATAGACAAGTGTCACACATAGTTAGCATATAGAATGTTTGTTTATTGACAAGCTGTAAGAGTTTCTCTCAAAATCCGTTACTTTAAAAATATTTGTTACCTTAAAATACACGTAGTTATACTTATAATACTCCATTAATAAATTTTAAAGTATTTTTAATAGGCATCATAAAATCAATAGTCATCATAGACTGTTCGCAGAAGTTAACATCATAAAACGTTTCTAATACCTAGTTAATAGTCAAGTATATTGCTAGTGAAAGAAAATGTATGAACCATTGGTTGCATAAAACTCACTCATCTCAACTAGTAATTACTAATTAGTAATACAAACGCTGAAAGACTAGAATACTTCTAATACGAAGAATTTATTAAAAGTTAATTATTTTTTATAACAACTATTAAAAATGTAAGTGGTCGGAGGTTGTTAGACAAGTTAGATTGTGAGGTGAAGAAACAATTTACTATGTTCCAAGTTTATTTATGTGAATATTATTATAATTCAGACAAAAAAGTAATTATTGAATAACAATTTTGAAAGATTTACCAATACAATGAACTACACTTGAATTTACGCTTTGCATTGTTATTAAAACTATAGGAGTGATATGATTTTTTTTAAATGTATATAATATTTAAGTATTGACGAAACCATTGAAATATATATTTAAATTAAACATTATTTAATACGTTAAAATTAATATAAATAATATAAGGACAAGTTGCTTGTCAATTAATCATTTGTAAGTTATTATATTTCCATGTTTCGGCTAACCTGTATTTTTTGCGTTTTACTATTATTAGATGTATCTATAAAGTAGAAACAAGAATTAAATTTATAATGTCACATTTAATTTCTCAATACATATTTTATGTTATGTAACATAATGTATGTACTAGTTTGTCCGCAAAAGAATTAAAAATATAGTAATTTTATGCACTGCAAGTAATGTCCGTAAAAGGGCATTTCAAAGACTTCACGTCTCAGCGCCTACACTAAAATGACATTCCAGCTTATAAAAATTATGCACGACTAAATTCAGATTTATAAATAGATTTTTAAAAACTATCGAACAATAAATTGCAATTAGTGCTAATATATTAAATGAATCATTTTAGTATGCTAGCGTTAGAAGATTGGTCGAAAAATAATAAAATGTATAGCTAAATTAAAATTACTTGTAACTATTATACCAGCATATTATTTTTAATAATATTATATTTAAGAGCTTGCATAAAATATTTTTATTTTATTTTTTATTTTTTTTTTTATAAATATAATTATTTAGTTATTTTAGTATCACGTGGATAATTTATACAATATTACATACTTAAGTTTTTTGTTTCGAATAGGTCTCTTAAATAACTGTATAGTACCGAGAATGTTATTGTCGATAATTATTTATAGGGGAAACTGTTTAAATAATCGACTATGTAATGATCATCGTATCAGAAAAACATCTAATTCATCAGATTATTTTCTACCAATTCAAAATAATTTATGCTGTTCAAAATATAATTAATTAATTAATGATAATAAAATATGTTATGTAACAATAGTAAGTTTTAATAATATATTATATTAGTTTATAATAATTATAAATTAAAAATTATTTGTATAATGTTTAAATAAATAATGATTTTAAGTCTTAAGATCTTGTTAAAAAACAAATAAAAGTGATTAAATGTGCCTACTGTAACTACAAAATAACCATAGTGGCAACTGACAATACTTATTCTAATATTGAAAACTGAATTGTTATAAAAATGATGTAAAAAGCATTATATTTCGTGTACACCAGTGGCCTTAAATTGCCTATTCAATGCGCCGGCCATTCCTTTAGAATTAATGAGATACTGGATTTTATGAAGTTTAAACATTGTCAAACTCGTGACTTTCTTTTTTATTTAAAAACCTACTGAAATATTACTACTAACTGCAGTAACAATATACAACTTTGGATGTATGATAAAGTAACATACGATGGCATTAATATTAGTAATTTCAATTTTGTTACCCAATTAAAATAAATACATTTACATATTAACATACAAATTTAATTTTGTAAATAAATGAAAAAATAATATGTTATCAAGATAATTATAGTATGATAATAAGTTTATTTTATTTTAACGAAATGTTTAAAAGCTATATACGTAGGTCCGTAGAATGTATTTTTAAATAAATGCATAATAATACCTACTAGGAGATTCCGATTTGCCCTAAATTAGATCGATTATATTTTTTTCGAATTTAAACAAATTGTCTCGTCGCCTATAATTGCGATAAACGCGTGCGCGTGCACGCATAAAATATGTTCAGGAAGACTTTGTTGGGATTATAGCGAAGGATCAAGGCCGATACGGCGTTCAAGGATATCGAAATAGTGTGCCTATAGTATTATTATGGCGCGTGTGCGAAGGACGTGACGAACAGACACGATACGATAAATCGTTTTAATGTGAGCCAATAGCGAAAAGGAAAAGATAAAAATAAACAGAACGACTACCGATTGACAGTAAAAGGCAGCATCCGACCAAACGACGAGGAACGCCATGTCCCAGATAAGTTGACCGTTGACACCAGGCCGTCATGGTCGTGTTCAACGTGTGCCAGTTATATCATCGCCGGGCCAACGGGTGTTTAACAGTACCCACCCGACAATTACGTCTTGTATTGCTATTGTTTTTACACGTTCCCTGTCTATCGATTAAATTATAGTTGTCAGACAATTTATTTTTTAAGTTGTTGCGGGCTACGACAAAAAATAATAATAATAATTACTCCGTGCGTTAGTTACGACAACAGCCTGCTAGCGCAGTCGTTGTTAACAACGATGACTTTCAATGTGAGATTATTGATAATGAATAACGTCGTCGTCGTGTTCACATAACACATAACTATGTTGTATTATGCAGTCGTAGTTATGTCATAGCGCGTCTCCCTTGTTGAAATATTAGGGACGGCGGCGGCGGTCATCCTACGGGGTCAGAGGCCACAAGAAGTCGTTTACGACACATTGGGTCAAGGAGTAGCGTGGAGACTGGTGAGTATACTATGGATATAAAAGTGCAATACCAGTTTGAAGTTTCATTCGTATTTTTATTTTATTAGTATTTTTTAAGTACTGTGGGTATATGAATATACGTTTGGGTTTCGTTGCCAACAAAACGTATCGTTTTATAGGCCTCGTGTGAGATATGACACAACGGAATATTAATGTCATAATGTGATAATATAATTTACTACATGCAATACAGAATTCTACAACGCATTTACCCATAAGATTTGTGTTTTCTTTTCTTTATTGACAGAAAACTTATTTCTGAAATATGTCTCATGCAGTTATGCAGCTTAATAAACTGCAAAAATACGAGAAATCATTTACGGAATCACAGAAATACAACCTTTCACGTATACCTATTATAGCGAAATATGTATACAACGGTATATAACCTATAATAACCAAATCTTTTTGAAAATACAATTCAAATTTTGTAATCGATTTTGTATTCACTTCCAAAGTTTTAAGCATTAAGGTTTAGTTTATAACACATGGATATGTTTGATACGAGAGTGATAAAAACTAAAAACAAATTTTGTACACCAAAATATACTAGTCAACGGTTAATGATAATCAACATTAAATCGAGGGTTTGAGAGCGAAATAGTAGATCTGCTTGAGATTTAGGATCTTAAGAAAAATAAAATCGTTTTGTCTTATATTTTAAGTATACTTACGCCCATTTATAAGATCCATCAAAATTGACTCCATCGTTTTCATATCGAACGATGGGGATAGGAGTTGTGGGTTGATACTGTTGACAGCTGACTAGACCGACCAACATACAGCTTACTACTGCGATTGTCTAAAAAATGAATTCATACATAAATTAGTTTGATATTATAACACTGAATTTAATTATCATAATTATTGCGCTTTGTTTACACGAAGGAGGAAGTAGAATATTTTTTTAAGAATTACAGCTTGTAATATAAACAATTATAACCAAACTATTGTTAATGTTATACATATTATATTATATACATTTTGTTTTAATTATAACTTCTACAAATATTAAAGAAGGTACAAAACAAAAAAATGATAATTATACTAATGTTTGAGAATAAGTTGAAAGCTAGAGTTTGTAGATATAGTAGAATTCTGATGCACCTAAATCTTTTTTTGTTTTTAATATATATGTGACTTTTGTACTTGTCTTTTGATATAAGTATAAAATAAAATAGAAGAGTGATAATCATGTTTGAGCTCAATAAAACAATCTTTTATAATGATTAACTTATGATTAAATACCTAATGGTTAAATTTACCCATTATGAAAGCTAAAAGTGAATCGAAGGCGGTGACACAGGTTTCTATCTGTTGCAGTTGGTGATCAGAAATGGTTATATGATATTAAATGTATGGCTATTCTCAAAGTAATTTTAAACAGTAAGACTTTATGGCCCATAGATATTAAATGATATTAAATTATTCGAAAACTTGGTGTTTTACGTTTTTGTATAAAAGGTAATATTAAAATTAAAATATAACCATTTTGCAGACACCTATGTGCGATATTATTCGATGTTATTCGAGTATAGAGTCTACGCTTTAGAATCTTTACACCTAAATGGATCTAAACATCTGATTGAAACGGGTTTCGGGGGTGTGCAAGAGTGGTGTTTTAAAAAAGAAAAACCATATTTTTCAGGACTGGACGAATAACGCTTTTGCAGATGTGATATTATATGAAGTCTGCGCGATGCTATTAGAATAAGAATTCGAACGACGAATACAACGCAACATCGCACAGACCTCTCTGGCGTGTATACAAGGTGTCGCGTCTGCTATGGATATTGACGTGATACTATGCGACAAAAATAATATAACATATTCGGAACCCATGGCGACGGCGAGGTGTGCAGACTATTATTATACAGGTACGTACCAATTTCATGATGACTTCTCGTGTGTGGCTGACGACGAGGATGTCAAATAATAATTCTTCGTACGGAGCGGAGATGATATTATATCGTTCCGCTTAGTCGTTGAGACGCGTAGGTATTGTGCTTGGATACTTTCGCTGTCGAACACGATTCGCGCCGTTCCTTGTAGGATGATGTCCACGTTTTTCGTCGGTACCGCCGACCGCCGTTGTATTTATATGCGGCCGCAGACGCTCGGGCGGCGCGCCTCCCCCTACTTTGGAAGCGATGGGGGGCGCCCCGGGGGTTCGCGTATTATAGGCATAGGTAATATAATAACAACTATGCACTGCAGTCTACGCGTTCGTACGGCAGGCTGACCTTTTTCCTGCCGTGGCGATCCCCCTTATCAATCAGACGAAATCGCATTATCACGCAATAATAACATAATATGTAGGTATTCCTATTACGCACCCCGCCCACCACGCCGGCACAACAAAAATATTGTAATACCGACGTCATAACGGCTGTGCGCACGACAGTAATTATAGTCAATAATATTGTTTTATCATATATTATTATTTGGTTATAACGATCCACAGAGACGTGAGCACGGGATATGTGCAGTGTTTAAGCTCGCTGGCACATCCAGTGGGCTGGGAGTGGATACTTTTTTTAGACAGCAAAACCTACACGACCAAAGCCCCAAAATAACAAGTTATTTTTAGAAGAATAAATAATATGTAAAGGTACGATTGACATTAATTACTAAATTATTGAATACTGACTAAATGTGTGACGAGAGTCATGTAATCATGTCCTTTTCAATAAACACGTCTTCATAAAAATATGTTTTGTGGAGCATTGTTTTTGACTTCAGTTACAAACGTATTCTGAGTCCTTGCAGATGGGTGACCACCCAGGTTCTTAGTGACAAATCCTTGCCATACATACACACGTGTTCCCCAAGCCAACCGTACCCTCTCCCGCAGTAAAAACCGGTTAATAACCATGCAGTTTATGCCACGAGAAAAATATGTTTTCATTTTTCAACATAAACAGTTGGTTGAAAAGCCTTTATAATATGTTCTAATAAGAATCAATAATAACAATAATCGAATGATAATCATAAATATTTCAGAGACAGTATGGCAAGACACTTATTTTGCCATTTATATATTATTTTTATTTATTTTTTTGAGATGGGGAGTAAATGTAAACTGGGTCCGTGATTAACATTTTTTTGCCAGCTTGGGGAGCATATTTATTTTGGGGAGCATATTTTATCAGCTGTAAACACTTAGACTAAAGTCTGCGCTCGCTTGTGGTTACAATATTATTAATTGTGTGACTACAGGTGTGTCATACGTATACGTGTCAAAATATATAATACTTGGATTTAGCTGATTTTCAATATTATTAGTCCGCCTTGTAGTTAATACTTTATAATAAAACTATAATTCTAGGGCCTTTATAAGTACTATGTGTTACTATGTCCAATCAAATAAGATTCATAACATTTTTTTTTGAAAATGTACAGTTTGATGACTTAAGAGTTCATAAAATTTTATAAATTTTAATCACGTCATTTTCCTTTTAGTTCAAAACAAAAAAGATCATTAAAATAATACGAAACATCACATAATATATTATTGCGAAATACGAACTAAAACGCTACGAAAGGAAAAAGAGAAAAATATTACGGATGAAATTATGCAAAAGGTAAATGATAAATATGGAATGATTATAATTATATACGTTACGTTTATGCAGAATAACACATACTCCACTTTATTGTGTCTTTTTAATAATTAATAATTTTTAATATTAACACAAATAGTGTCAAATATGAAGGTGTAGCATCATAAAATATTATTATTATTTTTACTTTGGTCATCAACATCATTAACACTGTGTATGCCGACGATTTTTATTACAGCAATATTATAATGTAGGTGATTAAGATGTTTAGAAAAATAATATTATATAATTTATTTTTAATCGGTAATAGTTTTAAAACACATCGTAGGTCAATGATTATGTTAATTTCGACGTAACTCAATTTTATAAACATCACATCCTTGAAATCAGCTTTGTCACAATAATTTATTATGTTTCTGGAATATGACATTAAATAAAAACAATTAATTAAACTTGTCATAAAACAATTTGTCGTACGCGAGGTACATAAATAGGCGTAATGCCCAACATATTAATCGATCGTATATTATATTCTTGCTATTATACATAATACATTCATTATTCTAGTACAAAAAAATTAGTAGGATATATTTTTCTATCAATGCTATCACTGATACATTCTAGTATATTAATAATAATTCATTAATTTGATTGAAGTATTATGTAATGCATATTAAGATGGCTACTCTATAGTAGTCATGTTAAAATGCACACACACACACACACACACACACACACACACACACACACACACACACACACACACACACACACACNTAAAATGCACACACACACACACACACACACACACACACACACACACACACACACACACACACACACACACACACACACACACACACACACACACACGCACGCACGCACGCACTATTGGTAGACTAAGTAATACAATAATATTGTGGGCTATAATACCTTTGCCATGCATTGTTTTTTCCATAGAAATCCGGTTCTAGTCAGTCAATATAGAATTAGATATTTAAAAACTAAAATATATTGTCAATGCAGTGAATTAATCAAGCCGGCAAAAGATATTGTAATTGAAAAGACAATTTCAAAGTTATACTAGTCATAATATATTATTGGTGCAGATCTACAACGAAATATTATTTCCGTCGTCCTAGAGTTTGCGGGGTTTCGCCGCATTCGAACGTTTTCAAATCATCACATAAATACATAATATTGTTTTTCTTTGAACTTTGCTGTCGTCGCTCTGTAATCCGTAGAACATTTCGCTACCTGTCGCGATGCGTATAAATGCTACAGGTTTATCCCCGCGTCCAATCGACCGCGACGGTAATCAGATCCGGACAACGACTATATCGGACTACAATACGACTTTTAGAACGAATATTTTTTAATCTTCTCTTTTTAGATTCCACCACTTATTTAGTCGTTGTGACTTGCTGACTTATCTGATCGGCACGTCCGGAGCCGTTCTCCGCTCATATCGAGGGCTCGGTAACTGTCGTCGTCATCGCCGCTCGATTACGCAAGATTTAAAAGTGCCACGCGCGTTCTTCATCGCAGTCGTGTGTGTGATTTATTATAATTTTAACAACAATAATCATACGCATAGGAAGCCTCCCCGCCCCACCCCACTCCAGTTTCTATATTATAATATCGCTTTACAAGTCGCATAATATAATATAGTTAGTAGCCGTGGCCCGCGTGGTATATTGCCGCGTTCACGCGTTACGATAATAATATGATAATGTAAATCGTACCGCATTATAATAGTAGCGTAAGAGATTTGTATCTACCTTTTTTTTTTTTTTCATATTATATACCTAAGGTACGCTCTCGTCTTCGCTGCAAATTTATTAATTTCTTTATCGCGGCGCGGAATGTCCAATTAATATAAGTTTTGTATAATTTATAGCCATAATATGCACAATATATAGCGTAGTAGGTGTAGTACCTAATGCCGTTCACAGCTTGTGCGCATAACGAGTTCTTGTTGGATTTACGATTATTACGGATTTGTAAAAATTCACAGTCGTGTAAAACATATAATAATAATATTATAAGTACTCGTATAATATACTCGCGAGTTCATTGTTTGTTTTTTTTTTTTTTTTTGAAAACGGAAAAGTCACGATTTAGAATGTTATTTTATATTTGCTATTTCATCGATAATACCACATATATTGAACATAATTTATTGACTTCAGTTGAGTACCTATAATATAATACGTTACGAAAACATCAACCGAAAACCAGTGTAAAAGTGTGCAAAATTATAGTCCGTACTCGTTAGATAACTACTGCAATTACTACTCTAGATAAATATTAGGTTGTTGATACCTGGACCTACCAAATAAAATACATTCGTGTATTAGGTATCAGAAACAGATTCATATAATAAATAGAGTAAATAAGAAGACAAATTTAAAAACATTTTTTAATTACATATTATATAATATTATATATCATAATAAAACTTAATATTTCTCAAATAATAATAAATAATAATCATACATTTCTTCTGTACCTACCTCTACTTATATTTTTAAAAATAAAATGATTAAATTAAAATAGAAATAAATTGTTAGTCGTTATAACGTGTTAGGTATAGGTACCATTTTAATCATTTTAGTTTTTAACATTTTTTTCCAAGAAGTTCCGTGAAAATAAAAATTATAGGTAGATATTATAGCTTGTTTGAAATGAAATAAAAATAAATAGTTTATATTTTTACAGTTTAAAACTAAAAGATATGGAGGATCTATATAGGTATAATATCCCTCGCATACTTTTTCAGCTTTCGTCGTTAATATTTATTAAGAATAACTACTTTTATGCATACCTATTACCTATTATGTTTTGTATAAAGTCAGGAGTTGTAGGTATTTAATTTCCGGATTATCGTTATTTTTCAAAAATTTAGTGTAACATTTACAATATATAAGAATAAAGCTGAAACACAATAAGAACATTGGCTGACACTACATAATTATATAGACATACTTGCGGCGTATCTATATATCCACGGACCACGGATATCAGGGATATGACCTTGTAATTAATATTTCAAATGTACGCTTTGTCTTAAAATTCAAAATTTGATTTTTATTTAACTTTTCTAAATTTAATATATTTATATTATTTTATATTGCAACAAAAATGTATAGTAATGCACTATGGTTTAAAGTTTAAATATTATCACAAAAGTAGATACACGGCCCTATAAAATGATCGCAGGTGCGGTGCAAATACTAAGTTATATACTTATATTATTTTGCAGCTAGTTGAAATTTTCAAGTTAAAAATTGTATAAGTTGCATTTCACAACTAGAAAATGATTTAATTTAAATTATATTCACTTTAAAAATATATGCTATACACTGTCAATACATTATTTTAATATAGTATTATTTTTTTCATTTTATTTATAAAAGTTATTAGACTTAATATTTTATCTGTAGGCCTTTATAGTGTACTTTAACTCTATAACCTAATGGGAATCCGAACTAGATAAGATCAAATATAAACGACTTTCACT